AAAAAAAAAAAGTTTGCTAAAAGAGGCAGATTCTCTATTTTACCTCCCACCCCTCCCCTCCCCTCCCCTCCTTCCCATGAAGTCTCAAAAAAGTTGCTGGGAGTATGCTGGCATTTCTGAAGTTCTGCTGGAAAAGTCACGGTGACAAAAAAAAAAAAAAAAAAAATGAAAGTCACATGGACTCCGTGTGTCACCTGAGTTTTGTGCTGCAGTCCACGTTATGATGTTTTAAGTGAGGCTTGTACAGGATCCAGCCCCATGTCCGTAGGCCAGCGTGGGACAGGGAGAGCGGCACTAGCCCTGCCTGTGATCTTCACACGTATGACAGGCAGAAACACATGGGGGAGGGCGGTGGGGGGTGCTTAATGCGCCGCGTTTACGAGGATGACTCTCATTCCGAAATGATATCTTTTAAAGTCACCCCCAACCCCCCACACACAGCACTGATCCACCACACGACACCCAAGGGAGAACCTTCTAGATGGGCCCCATGCAGGGCATGCTGGGAACTGCAGGGCTGCGGAGCAGAGCCGCGTGACCAAGCAGGCAGCGGCCGCTCGGCGCCGGACCTCCGCTTTCCCCGCGACTTCCCAAGTCCGAGTCTGAAAAACGAAACCAGAGTTCGGAACGTCTTCCTATGAGTTTATAGCTGGAGAAACAGATGCCAGAGCAGCCCCTTTGCTGTGCCCCCCCCCACCGTGTAACAGGCACTTATGAAATCTTACCATTCACTAATAAAAAATAAAAAATAAAAAACATTCTTCCCTCCACCACACTGAAATCAGGGCCTGCGAGAGGTCCAGAGGGCACAAGAGGGTCCTGAGGATAGCCAGAGCTCCAAACCTCCCTCCAAAAGTCTGCAACCGCCCGGCCCCCCCGTCCCCACCTCAGCATCCAGAGTGACTCTCTCCCTTTTCGTTCAAGATGAAGATCTGTCACAGTGGGGCCCATCTGTGGGTGGACAGGGCTGACATGAGTTTGGTGTGTGTGTGTGTTTGTGTGTGTGTGTGTGGGGGGGGTGGCTGAATTTGGTGCGGCAGGCCCAGGTTTGTAGCGGGGGGTGAGAATGACACTGTCACTCAGCAGTTACCCACTGCTGGAGCCTATCAGCATTAGTGTCAGTCCGTTTCAGTTCGGCATGGATTACGCAGATGCCCACCTGCCTTCAAATCTGTACATGTCACTGTGTGTGTACATTTATGTGAGAGAGAGATGATGTGTGTGTTTATGTGCTCGTGTGTGTGTGTCTGTGCGGGAATCAGCAGTCGTTGTTCTCGAGGGATAGTTGGGCAGTGGCACGGTGCAGCTCCGCGCTGACCCTGCGCTGGGTTGGGGGGAGGGGACACTCAGGTGCCAGGGGGGGGCTCTCTGCCCCCCCATTCTCTTCCACACCCCTGCGGCCATCCTGCTCCTCAGCCCGCACTTTCTTGTCATCAGACTCTTCAGTGCTGGCCTCCATGCGCTGGTCCTCGCTCCAGCGTCGCTTGAATCGCAGCTTGAGGGGGATGCACTTGGGGGGGGCAGCTGGAGAGGGTGTGAGCACTGCGGCCGCTGGCTCTCCAGGCTCCACCGGCTCACTCTTCAGTGCAGGGGGCCGTCGATTCTCAGGACCCAAAAAGGGTGGCAAGCCCGGCGGTGGGGGGGCGGGAGTCTTGAACACATCTTCATCCAGATCCTCCTCAGCAGCTGGTGGTGCAGCTGTACCGTTGGGCTGCTGCTCTCGCCCATGCGGGGGATAAAAGTCTTCCTCCCTGTCTTCCCCTTCTTCATCACTGATATCTGTCACCTGCACGTCTTCCTCAGACTCGATGTCAGAAATTGGCTCCACCTGCATAGAGAGCTTGTGAGCAGGGCAGCCAACCTCTAATTGTATAGGGTATACAGTCTAATAGACAAGCATTCTAAAATAATAAGAGAGTCCTGGAACATTCTGGAAATGTACAGAATCTGACAATCAACAGCCGTAAAGCTGGCAACATTATACAACTGCAGCAAGCCTATTCTGGATCCATACCAAGCCAAAGCAAGTGCTCACCTTGATTTTGGGCAGCCCTGCATTGCTCAGGGAGCCAGACGATGAGGAGCCACTGGCCGAGCTGAGGTCACTGCCGAAAGGTACGGAGGAGCCCAGGCCCGAGGTGGAGGACAAGGAGCCGGAGCTGGCCTGGGTCTGTGTGGGAGCCTGGTTTTCACGCTGCTTGCGCCCCAGGGGTGGTGGTTGCAGCTTGAACTTGAAGGGTGACATGTGGGCGGATTCCTCGCTGAGATGCAGCGGGTGGTGGATCGGGTGGGCGTGGCCATGTGGGTGGGCGTGGCCATGTGGCAGGCCAGAGGGGTGGCTATTAAGGCTGGGCCGCTCGCTACCACGCTCACCCCCGCTGGGGCCCAGGCCCTTATCGGGCCGCTGGGGCTGAGGGATGACGATGTTGGGATAGTGCAGGAAGGCACGTGGGCTCAGGTGATAGTTGTAGACACTCTGGGTGTGTGCCTGCAGGTAGCGTTTCATGTCCTCAGGGTTGAAGGAAAAGTGGGAGCCCAGCATAGGGGAGAGGGTCGGGGAGGGTGTGTAGGGCAGGTGTGAGGAGGGGGTCATGGAGAGGGCTGGGGAGAGGGGCGGAGCCAGCAGCCCAGCACCACCAGGGCCGGGGAGTGGAGAAACGGGGAAGGGGGACAGGGGATCTGGGACAACTCGGTGGGCCGGAGGGGCCCGAGGAGGGTGATTTGGGTTGCCAGGACCACTGTACATCCGGAATAGAGGCTCATGGGAGAGACGAGGGTGCAGGATGCCACGGAAGCCCCCAGCGCCAGGCCCGCCGCCACCACTGCCACTTCCCCCGCTGGGCCTCTCCTCGCCACCACCGCCTCCACCACCTTCCTCGATCTCGGAGTTGACAGAGGTACCGTCGCTGCAGTCGCTGACTGAGCCACGGGCCATGCGGCGAGACACTGTGCCGAACACACCCGGACTGCGCAGATCCTCGTTGGGTGACAGCACATCCGACGGGGTGGAGGGAGGGAAGCGGAAGTGCGTGCCCGCCCCCGTGGGCACCGGCGGGGCGCTCTGGGGGACTCCACTACCTGAAGGCGGCAAGCGAAGGGGTAAATGATAAACGGTAGTGGCGACAGAGCAGATTATTACAGACGACAGGAGGACACAAAGTGGACTCGAACCTGCAGACCCCATGTCAATGAAGGGGTAGTTGACAAGCACCAGCTTGTTGAAGTTGAACTTGTAGGTGAATCTCTTCCCTTTGGTCTTGTGCAGGATCCTCTTGTTGTAGTAATATCTGTAGAGCAGACAGACACCAAGTTATGGCTCATAAACACTAGCTGCCGAGATACTGCCACCACACACTTGGGGGCGCTGTGCTGCCCAAACCCCACCGGGAGCAGCATCGGACCAGATCCAGACATCGGCAGAGTACACAGTCATCAGACTGTCACCTCGTCACCCCGTCAAGCAGAGCAGAAGGACCTCTTGCCGTTTTCACGGACTGTCCGTCACCCGTGCCTCCACCGCTCCGCCAGTCACGTTTACGTAACACCCGCTCTCACTCGGCCTGCATCTACACTTGCCAGAAAAAGTTTTTGAATCCTGTGGAATAAACTGGATAGATCTGCTTGAATGGGTCTTAAAATCTGATTTCCAGTCATAATACTGTTGAATTTAACAAAAGATACCCAGGGTATTTTATGCTGACGTATCTTTATCAACCCATAACCTTGACCAAGCTAAGTGCTTAGAAGATGGATGGATGATTTTCATCAACACATACCCCTGACCAGGATAAGTAAAAAGAATGAAGTTTGAAATAATATATTTATCGAACATCAATCACACGTTTTTCCATCAATCACAGATGGAAAAACGTCTATGATAATGACCTCTTGAAGGGAGCCATACACTCAGGTGTTCCAGTTAATCCAGAAGTGGGTTTGACCTGTCCCAGCGCACAAGTTCTGTGCTCGTCATAAGAAAACTCTAGTGCAATAAGGTCCAATCAAAAGAGATTTTGCCCTAGCAGTGTGTGTCTGACAGATGACTGTGAGGACAAGTCATAGAATCCTCAAAGCACCGACAAAGAGCCCTTGGCTAACAACTATGGACCTGCAAACATCTCTTGCACTTCATAACATAATAATCCAAAAACAAGAATAAATCAACATGGTGGCTCAAAGGGATGAAATGCTATATTCAGAGCAGTGCTCATCTCAGTCACCCGAAAATGCTGTCTCATGATCTGAAGCAGGCTGTTCAGGCAAGACATCCCAAAAATATACATGAACTGAAACAGCTTTGTATAAAGGAATGGATCAAATTACCTCCTAACCTCTGCAGGTCAGATCAGCAGTGATGGAGAGCATTTGTTGGAGGTCATTGCCAATAATGGAGGTGCCAGGAGTTACTAAATGCAACAATTCTCGCACTTTTTCTTTACCCTGAATGTTTAACCCATTTATTCGATAATATCTGGTAATGTGAAATGCTGTATGTTTGCTACATAAGTTCTTTATGACTTGAAGATCAGAACACATCTTAGAAACCATTTATGCAGAAACCCCCTAAAGGTTGACACGTGATCCTCACATCTGTATATCAACCTTTGTCCAGCCCTGTTTATATAACACCCTTCCCGATCCTCGATCTTCTTATGCAACCCGCTCATCTTCTTGAACACACGTCACGTGACCCTTGTGTCACAGAAGCCCCTCCCAAACCCCAGTGAAATTCCCCTCCCATCATCCAATATTAAAATAACATTTAGTATGGCTGGGGCCTGGCTGCAGCGCCCCCTCGCTGTCACCACAACACAGCCTATTATTTTGGGTGGGAGAGCTGGGGGGGGGGGGTCCTCCCTGCCTTGCTGTATTATGGTTATTAGCGCTGTTGTGTCGCCCGGTCAGCCGCCCCCCAACCGCCGTGTAGCTCAGGGGCTGTTTACACAGACGGAGCAGTGTGTTATTTCGGTATGGGGGGGGGGGGTGGCAAACCACTGAGACTCCTGACGAGTCAGAGGAACAAGGACTCTGGGTTGTGGGGGCAGAGAGGCAGGCGAGGCCCCTTTAAAAAAGGTGGGGTGGGGGGTCTGGAGAGCAGGCCTGGCGCTGAGGCGCACGTGCGCAACAGTCGACGCACGACACTTTGAAGAGCATTTGAACTCACTTCAAAGGGGGGGGTTTGATGTTATGGGAGCGCCTGCAATCCCTCACGGTGCTGCACACGTTACCCAGGGTAGGGGTGGGGGCCACACACACTCTGCCCCCCCCCCCACCTTCCCACAACACTGGGAATTTCATCCACTTAGCCTACCCCCCCATTAAGTGCATAAAACTTTTCAAGATGTAGGAGCTTGAGAGAGCTTCTAATAAACAGGCGGATGGGGCACGTAGCGCAGAGTGGGATTAGGGAGCAAATATACGCTACACGCTAAAGGACATGAGCATCTAACCGGGTGGGGGGCTTCTAGAAAAGGCCCCCATTATTCCTAATCAAGTCATTGTTGTGATTCTTGTTTAAGAAGGCTGAAGCCCCCCACCACAAGTTATGGCTAGAGCCACAGTAACGGGAACACTGTGTATGGATGATAAAGGTAGAGAAGAGGATGTGTGTGTGTGTGTGTGTGACCCCCCGTCATGCTCCTCTCTGTGTGAGCAGTGCTCTGGGTGTGTGTGTGTGTGTGTGTATATGTGCGTATGTACCAGCAGCCGTGCCTAAGCACATGCTCACGCCACCACCACCAGGACCCATAAAGGGCCTTTCTCAGGGGGACAAAGCAGCACACAGAGCCCCGCATGCCCCCCCGCACCCCAGACGCACGCACGCTGGGCTGCCCGGCACAAAGGGGGCTGTTGTGGTGGCTGGCGGCTGCTGCCGCTGACCTACTGACCACTGCACGCTCACACGCTGTCGTCAGTCACGTGATCCCAGCCCCGGATCTATGTCGAGCGGTTAACTATTGGGACACGGGAGACGTCTCGGGGAGGATCCCCCTGCCTCCAGGAGCCCCACACGGCCTAAAAGCAGAGTAAGCAGCTAGTGCCCAGGGGCCCCGACAAAATGTCCGCTTGAGGCCCCACAGTCCAATGTTTCATTTGTTTTTATATATTCAGGGGCCAATTTTAAGTACCGGGCCCCGTGAATCTGCCAGAGCAGCAAAGCACCTCCGACGACCCTCCAGCTGACAAGGGACCACTGGGGGAATTTCCAGAAGAATGTAAGTGTGAAGGAGACGAGGAGGAGGGGGAGGAGAAACCGCTGTCAGATTAAAGCGCAGAGAAATATGTACGTCTTTGAAGCGCGTGCAGGCGGGCGAGCGAGTGGCGGCAGCTGGCCTTGCGCTCCGCTCCCTGTGCGTCTCGCTCCCCCTATGGTGCTGGTGCCAGGCCAGCACGCATGTGCGTGTGCACAGGGAGCGCTTTCCTCTGCGCTGGATATGATGATAACGCATGGACTAGGAGCCCATCTGGCCGGGCCGTGACGTCTGACAGCACATGTGACCGTGTGTGGGACCTCCTGACCTCTGACAGCGTGACCGCCAGTCACTGCGCGTGTGACGGTGTGTGTGTGTGTGTGTGTGTGTGTGCACGTATGACCGCCACTGACTGCACGTGTAGCTGCGCTGCCAGGGCAGATACACGCACGCCTGTGTGCTACACGCTTGCTTGCGTCAGCCCCCCCCAGCAGTCTCTTCTATATATAAAGCCTGTCACAAGCTGGAAATGTGCTAAAACACCAGGGCAGGAACAGGAACGTGAGCCAAGGTGGGGGGGGGACTACTTGCTTGGCACGAGCCACCTGGCTGGGGCATCGCAGGTCGTATAGACACCCCCCACCCCCCTGCAATGCGCCAGCGTCAACGCACCAAGCCAGGCAAATGGCTCCCCTCATTTACATTCTAAAGGTTAAGCGACATCAAAGCCCCCGTGTTCCCAACATGCGGTTACTGTCGAGGTGTGTGTGAGACCCCAGCCTGGACGGGCCGCTCGTACCGCAGCGCACGGCTCAGCTTGTCGTAGTTCATCTGCGGCTTGCATTTGCGCGCTCCCCACAGTCGGGCCACCTCGTCGGGGTCCTTGATGACGAACTCGCCGTAGTCGCCCTGCCAGGCGATCACCCCCTGGTACTCCTCCTTGCGCAGCAGCTCCAGGATGAAGTGCCACAGCTGGATCTGCCGTGAGCCCGGACTGGACTCCGGTTTGTAGGCCCAGTCCGGGAAGGCAAACCCTGTTTGTGGGGGGGAGAGAAAAGAATCAGTGTAAGGAGATGGGAGAGGTAGGAGGAAGGGGTCATCAGCACCCCTCAAGATCACGGAAGGTAATCGGCCCTGCAGCACTCAGGGTGATGGGACGGGCCACGCTCCGCCAAGCGCAGCAAGCAGGACCGGCACAGCGCACTGGGACGGACCTGTCACCTTTCACTCGTAGTAACAGATGCTATGGCGACACCTCACATAAATATGACTACTCTGATTCAGCAGGGGGTTTCAGAAGAAAAAAAACCCACAGCCTTCCGCCGTTAAAGGAGCCCAACCGCAAAGCCCTGCAGCTACGGACTGGTCACACACCCACAGGTGTCTGAAAAGGGGCCAGCAGCCCATGGAGGTCCCCAGTCACCCTTTTCCTCTGGGGGGAAAAAAGTTTTAAATTCCCCCCCCATCATACCAGCACCCATGCCACTCCTTCCTGTCAAAAAGGTCTGCAGCTCCCCCCTCGCACCAGCGACAAACACCTGCATCACCAGCACCTGTGTGCCCCGGGGCTTGCTTGGGGCGGATGCGTGCAGCTCAGCTCACAGTGAGCACACAGGCGACCGCTCACTACCTGGAAACCATAGCGCGTGGGGAATTGTTGCAAGCCACATCCGCGCTCTCACAGCGCCATTTGCTACGCCAGCGAGGGAGGAAGTGGCCAGCGGCTCGAGCCCCGATCGGGGCAGCAGGTCAGCCAAGCCGAGGGGCGAGGGGCATACCACGGGCCAGGAGACAGTCACACGACACGGCACCGTGCGACCGCACGTCAGCGAGGGACTGGGAGGGAATCGGGGCAACAGTGGGCGGGAGACAGGGCCAGTGACCCCCGGTGACATGGCGTCTGTAACGTGGCGGCAGCCCCATGGCAAAGTCCAGCTTCTCTCCCGCGTCGGGTCATGAGGTCAAAGGGCGCCTCTAAACATCAGAAGGTGGCGCTGAAATCGATATGCTGGCGTGGCCGAGTAAACACACCCTTTTACCGCCCCCCATGCCCCACTGGCACACGCACGCACTGACTTATGACTAATTAAATGTAAAACTAGCTGTGCAGCGTCACCAATCTTTCCGAAAACAGCAGAAAAGTCATATGTGGCTAAAATGACAGCCTGAAATGAGAGGGCCGTCTCCCAAGCCGCACCGTGCAGCCTCCAGGCCGGAGCTCCTGTGCCGGGCCAACATCACCCCAGTAGCGGGGGCACAGAGGCCGTGAGGCAGACCACAGCCCACACGACCCGCAGTCTGCGGAGAAACAAATTTCGACTGAAATCACAGGCCAGTGGACACTGGTTGATTCCTTCAGGTCACAAATCCAACAGAAATGTACTAATTGACCACACAGGGAGCCCTGAGAGGGACCCACATCATGGCCAAGTGGCCCCCGCTCTCTGTGCTGGGTAAGCATGCAGGAGTCCGGTGGATGGCAGGGGGGACACACAGGTTAGATATTAATGGAACAGCCAGACACAGCAAAGCAGTGCCAAGCTAACAGGCGAGCTGAACGCAGCCAGCAGCCTCTGAACCATGCTCTGCCGCAAACAGCCATTACTCCACCTTCCATTATTGTAAGGCCTCGCTGGGGAGAAGACGAGGCCTTTGAACAAAAAGTCCCACGAGGGAATTCATCATCGTTACGGATAGTGGCAATGACGACGACGACGATGATTCCTTTTGTCCCCTGGCTCAAAGAAGCAACATTTGCTTAACAGAGTTAAATAAGCACAGCCCGCTTCAGGAGATGGCACACAGCAGGGCCCCTGTGTCTGTGTGTATCTGCGTGTGTGTGTGTGTGTGTGTGTGTGCGTACATCCCACATCACGCATGCAGGGCTCACGAATCACATGGCCGCCCAGCCCATCAGCGACGCCGCTGTTGGCGTAGCATGTGAGAGTATGTGCAAAACACAAGCCCACGCATTTCAATGCTGGCACATAACCCCCCCCCCTTAACCTCCATGACCCGAATCCCTGGCCCTCCC